TGGAAAGGAAGGTGGAGTCCTCACAAGAAGATATCTTGATGTTTCAGTACAGACAGATGGAGTATGCCCTGAGGATTAGAGGCCTCAAGGAAGATATGAATCAAGATTTGGTGGAGGTGGTTCTTACTGATCTGGCGGTGGCCTTGGATATGGATAAAGGAGAATTACATAGAGAAGTGGAAAAAATTTATAGACTCAATTCTTGGATTGCTAAGCAGAAGAATTTGCCTAGAGATGTGGTGATTTATTTTACAAAGAAGTCCCTGCGGAATGAGATTATACAAGCCTTTTACAACAAAAGATTTCAGATTGCTGCCCAAGATGTTATCATTCTAAAGGAAATCCCATCCAAAATTTTAAGAAGCAGGAAAGACTTCGCTTTTTTAACCAATGAGCTTAAAGCCAGATTGATGCCATTTAGATGGGAAATTCCGATGGGTATTGTCTTGAGCCATGCGGGGACACGCTACAGATTGAATACAGTTGACAAAGCTAGAGAGTTTTATACTTCGGTCCTGGGTGCAGGCTCAACTCCATCTGGTCAGAAATCTCCGAGTGGCAAGGAAGTCGAGCAGCAATCTGAGGCATTAGGTTTGGTTTCCGCTGGAATGATACAAGCTGAAAGGCAACGCCAGATGGAGGTTAAAGAGCAGAGGATGACTCGTGCAGCTTATAAGCGTAAAGAGAAGGAGCAACGTAAAAAAGAGCCCAAAGAGAATTCTTCTGGAAATGCATCACCGCCGGTGGGAGGAGCAAGACCCAAGAGTTATGCAACACATGCAGCTCTTTCAGATCTTGATGGTGTCTTCTCCAGGCTGCGTGCCAAGGGAGATGGCAAAGTTTTTGACCTGGAATGTTAATGGATTGAATTCTCCTCAGAAACGGAAAAAAATCTTTTATTATTTGAAGCAACATACCAATGACGTTATTTGCTTACAGGAAACTCACATCTTACTTAAAGATCAGAAATATTTAGTCAATGCTCGTTTGGGATCTCATTTTATATCTTCTGCTCCTGGGAAGAAAGGGGGAGTTGTTATATATGTTAAACAAAACCTACCAGCTTGTCTGGTAGAATCAGATCCCCAGGGGAGATATGTGATGATTGAACTTGGTATATATGGTAAGAAAGTACTTCATAGTGGGACTTTATGCTCCAAATCAACAACAGGAACAATTTTATAAGCAGTTACATCAAAAAATAATATTGCTTGACTATAGATCAGTGGTATTAATGGGTGATTGGAATGGTGTCTTAGATATACAAAGGGACAAGAAAGGTTCCTCTCCTTTTCTTAAACAAGCAAGGTTACCTAAAGCTTTTTTTGATATGAAGGAAGACTGGGAATTAAGGGATTATTGGCGGGAATGTAATCAAGAGGAGAGAGATTTCACTTTTTTTTCTGATAGACACCAATCTTTTTCAAGAATTGACTTTTTTTTGATTACTACGGATTTGTATAATAAAGTAAAGAATGTAAAGATTTTTCCTAGATCACTGACGGACCATAGCCCAGTTTGGATGGAACTGACTCAAGAGAAAGAGGAAAGGAGATCCTGGAGAGCTAATGAAAATTTGTTTAGACAAGAGAAGAATGTTCAAAAGTTAAAGGAGTGTTTAAAGGACTATTTTGTTTTGAATATGTATAAGGGGACTTCAATGTCAATGGTATGGGATGCAGGTAAAGCATTTATGCGTGGTGTCTTGATAAAAATGAATAATTGTCATAAGCGGAAGCAGATTCAGAAACGTAGAGAACTTGAAGACGAAATTAAATCAAAAGAAAGGGCCTTGATTCTAAATCCTTCTGATGAAAGTATTAAAGAATCTGTAAAGTTATTAAGGTCACAATTTAATATGTTGATAGCAGATCAAGCTGCAACTAATTTATTGTTTATGAAACAAAATACATTTTGTAATGCTAATAAGCCTGGGAGATGGTTGGCTTATCAATTAAGAAAGAAACAGAGACAGAGAATAATAGAGAAAATAAATTACAAGGGTAAATTAGTTTTTCAGAAGGAATTGATCAAAAAATCTTTTTTGGATTATTATCAAAAGTTATACAAATCTACTAACGTGCAACTGTTAGATATAAATAAATATCTAGCTGAGGCAAGTTTTCCCAAACTGACTGAGGATCAGAAACATGAAATTAATGGCTTAATTACTAAGGAGGAAATTGCCTCAGCAATTCAACAATTGAAACTAGGGAAAGCACCGGGTACGGATGGGTTAACAGCTGTTTATTATAAAGCTTTAATGGAGGAGATGATCCAACCATTAAATGATCTTTTTAATGGTATCTTACAGGGTTTAGAGATTCCTCCTTCATGGCGTAGTGCTTTTATATCATTGATTCCAAAGGAGGATCAAGATCTTACTTTACCAAAAAATTATAGGCCTATATCTCTTTTAAATGTGGATTATAAGATATTTGTAAAAATTTTGGTAAATAGGCTTATGAGGGTGGTGCATCATCTTGTGCATAAAGATCAATCAGGGTTTATAACAGGAAGGTATATGAAAAATAATGTTAGACAAATTATTAATCTATTAGAATATTTAGACAAGAACAACCAAGTTCCTGCAGGGCTCATATTTTTAGATGCTGAAAAAGCATTTGATCAATTGAATTGGCATTTTATGCTAAGAGTAATGGAAGAAATGAATTTTGGCGAAAAGATATTACAAGCCCTCACGGTAATATATCAAAAACAAACGGCACAACTTATTGTTAATGGAGGTTTGTCGGAGGTTTTTACAATAGAGAAAGGTACTAGACAGGGGTGTCCTTTATCGCCATTGTTGTTTGTTTTAACATTGGAAATATTATTGATTAAAATTAGAGAGTCTCAGGAAATTAAAGGAATAGAAGTTAACAAAAAAGAATATAAGTTGAGAGCTTTTGCGGATGACTTGGTTGTTACTTTGTCGCAACCTGATCGCTCTGTAGTAAACTTATTACAGTTGATTCATTATTATGGTTTGGTTTCGGGTTTCAAGATTAATGTAAATAAGACTAAAATTTTACCTAAAAATTTGTCTAGTCAGGAGAAGCAGATTTTGGCTAATTTGACGGGTTTTGAGATTGTTAATAAGGTAAAATATTTGGGGGTGATGTTGTCTGTTTCTAATGTAAAATTATTTAAAAATAACTATGAAAGGTTGTGGGTCAGGGTACAGAAGGACTTGAAGAATTGGGAGAAGTTGCAATTATCCCTCATGGGAAGAATTGCAGTGATAAAAATGAATATTCTACCCAAGTTTCTTTTTTTGTTTCAAATGTTACCGATTTTGAAAAATGAGATTAACCTAAGTGAGTGGCAGAAGGGTCTTAATAAATTTATTTGGGCAGGGAAAAAGCCAAGGGTTAAGTTTAAAATTATGCAAGACTTCCGTGAGAGGGGTGGACTCAAGGTACCAAATTTGAAATTATATTACGATGCGGTGGTTTTAACACTAATTAGTGATTGGGTAAATTTGACAAATCCTGAGGTACTTCATATAGAGGGATGGGATTTACTTTATGGGTGGCATGCCTATTTAATATTTAATAAAAAAATGGATTGGGTCTTTAAATCTCATATTTTAAGAATCTCTTTACTTAGGACTTGGAGAAAATATTATAAAAGTGATTTTAAAGTTCCATTATGGGCCATACCTTGGCATGCGATAGAAGGAATAAAAAGAGGTGTTAAAATGGATATGGTGTCTTATAGTCAGTTACTTAGATGGGATGGGCAAAACTGGCAGTTAAGATTACGGGAAGATTTAGCGCAAGAAAATATTATTTATTCTTGGTTCCAATATAGGCAACTAGTAGATAAATGGAAGGTGGATTGTAAATTGGGTTTTCTTAGAGAAGATGGAAATCTTATTAAGCAAGTCAAGGATCAAAGACAAACCCATATCAAGAGAATCTATGGGGTATTAGTTGAAATGGACTCAGAAACGGAATTAATTAAAGACTGCATGATTAGATGGGCGCAGAATTTTGGTGTCCCAGTCTCATTGGATATCTGGGAAACCATTTGGGTGAGAAATGTCAAATTTACACAAGCACAGAACCTTAGGGAGAATTTTTATAAAATGTTTTATAGATGGCACCTTGATCCACAAAAAATGTCTCTTATGTACCCTGACGTACAACCCAAATGTTGGAGATGTGGTTATACGGATGCTTCTTATTATCATATTTGGTGGTCATGCAGAGAGATAAAAGCATTTTGGATCAAAATATGGTGGAATATCCAGAGAATTTTTAGAAGGAGGGTAAAATTTACTCCGCAATTATTTTTGTTGGGCATTGTTACAGATTGTGATACAAAGGAGGTTGTATTGATGTTAAATTTGATTACAGCCGCCAGGCTGTTAGTAGGACAATACTGGAAGAAGGAATTTTTGCCTACATTGCAGGAATGGTTTCTTAAAGTAGCTTATCTGGCGGAAATGGCAAAGATTTCGGTTTTCTTAAAGCAACAAACGCAAGAGAAGTTTCTTGCCGTTTGGGATAAATGGATAAAATTTATACAATTTAGATTGGGTATTAAAAAATATCACATAGCTTTTTCATAAGTTTTATTTTCATATATAGAGAATGTTATATATAGATACTTTTTTTTATATATATAAATATAAATTTTTTAATTTAATTTTTTATTTTTATTTGTTAATTTTTAACTAAGCCTATATTCTGCTCTGGGAAGCTCAGGGGGGGGAAGGGAGGGTGTTTGTGAGGGGTGGGGGATGGGGGTTTTTTTTATATGTGATGTTTAGTTTTTTTTGTATATGTTGTTTTTTGTTTTGTATTATTTTTGTCTTTTTGTAAAATTTATAAAACTTTCAATAAAAAAAAAAAAAAGAAACACCTTCTGGATTATTCAAAATTAGCATTAATTGTTGATGTAGATATGTGGCCAACAGCATAAAGACATATGTACAGTATGATCCAGACTCTAGAGAAACCATGAAGAAACCTCCAGAGGAAGAGACTGACCTGGGACTGCTGGAAAAGGAAGCATCTTTGTGGGTTTATGCCACAGGCCAGGAGAACAGCAGTGATGTCTAGGATGCTTTCACGTAAAACGGCTGGCTCTCTTGGTATGGTGAGGGAATGGAGGTCCACAATGCTGTATAATACAGAACTACATTCTTCCTGTAGCTTTACCCAGCTTGTGATGACACCAAAATAATTACCCAGGTGAGGAATCCCGGTTGGCTGAATTCCTGAGAATATTCTTTTCAGACCTTTGTTCTGTAAGAAAATCATAACCATAGATTTAGATACAGGTAAATTATCACTGATAGCTCAGATACAGTTATGCAGATTTGCTCTTCTTCCCATAAAGCTCATATGAATCGAACAAGTTTGGGGAGCAGCATAACTTGAAGAAGGTCACAATGGCTGCCCATTAAATACCACTTTATACTAAAAGGCTACTCTCACAGTTTAAATCTAAGCTTTTCCAGCAAAGTAAACAAAATCCCATACAGTAATTAATCCTAATATTGTCTAGTCACTGCTTTCATTTTGATCTGAAAGAAAGGTGATGGAAAAGCAAATCTCCTTTTCTCCTACTCAGATTCTTTCCTTTACATTAAGGCAGTGTTTCCCAAACTTGACAATTTTAAGGCATGAGGACTTCAACTCCCAGAATTCCACGGTCAGCAACGCTGGCTGTGGAATTCTGGGAGTTGAAGTCCACATGCCTTAAAATTGTCAAGTTTGGGAAACACTGCATTAAGGTCACCTAATTCTAGAGGCAATTTTTCTTTTGCTGTTTTGTGTATTATAGAAGACAATTACGGTGCTGTATAAAGTAACAATGGACACATGGCTTATAAGAGAAAATGAGAATGATGTACCAGCATTTTTCTTTAGTCATGGATTGGAGTGAAAACAAAATTCCAAGCTCCTGTTGCAAAAAATGTAGTCACACATTATTTATTGCACATTTCTGAATACAGAGTGAAATACATATATTACTGTTCTAAGAAGAAACCTAGTAGAGTAGGCCTGATCCAGATGACCAGCTTGTCCTAGTTCAAATATAGAGGCAAAGATTTCTACTCTAATTGGTTACTATACCTTATGACAGGAATGTTCCTTCCCCTCCAGTCAGTGGTTGTGCTCTCAGTAGCTATTCTTTCATTTCATGGAATGGTGAAAAGTTGGGCTTAATTTTGTTTTTACAAAAAAAATTTACTGATGAAACAGTAAATACCTGATATTTTCATTTTCTTTTTACAAGTTTATTGATGTAACAGCCAAAGGATAGATCTGTCTTTTTTAAAAAAAGAAATAAAGTGAAATTAACAAGAATTCTGTCAGCTAAAAGTTAAATTTTGGACTTGTCCTTTAACTGACCAGGAGGGAGAAAAGAAGAATTCATCAAACAGGGGATGTAAGAAATATGGTCCGTACTGAAGATCAGGCCATCACTCTGGTCAAACTGGAAGAAAACTTGAAATCCAGAAAGGGATTTTTTTTTTTAAGACAGCTTCATTTCCATCCAATTTACAAACAGAAGATAGGAGTTTAAGGCTGCCATATAGAAAAGACTCAAAAACACTATAAAAGGTCCTTTAGAAAGTTCTGAGAGAAAAAATAACAGTGCAAAATTTCTAATAAATGAAATATTGATAGCCTCATCCTATCAACTAGTTATTCAATTTCTTTTTCCTAACCATCTCACTCTCTGGTTGCCTGGATGTCTTTTAAGCATTACCATCCACTAATTCCTTTGAGAGAAAACCATGCTTGTGGATACTAAATGGAAAGCCTAAAATATGATTGTCTAAACAGAACTGGATTATTCACTAAGCTTCAAAAAAGAACCTGGGCTATAACATGGTATTAGGCTATTTAAGGAATCAGTTGAAATCATCAATCATCAGTAAGGTCTGACAGTTCCCATCTCTCAAGCTACTTCCTGGGTGGTCGCTTTAACTTTACTTTCCATATTAAATAATGAAGCAAATTTCACATTCACATTAAATTATCACTTTTGCCTTAAAAAGTTATTTAATGTTGAAAAATACATACCAAAAACTGGAAATGCACTATAAGCTAAAAAGGGCTCTTGCTTCCAAAATCTGCATCCTGGTGCCAAGTTCACCACTTCCAGTAGTAATAGAATTTTTAAAAAACCTCACATTCTTTTAGGATATAGGTTTGCTCTTAAAAAAAAACTCCAGGGATTCCATTCATCCAGAAAAAATTGTTTTTACTTCTTTTTTTTTTTTTGAACCCATGCCATATCATAAGGTACTTTTGAAACTTAGTTCAGTTTCAAACTTTATGTGGCACAGTGAAGTGTTGGAGACCCCATAGCTAAATATAAGGCCCATGTTTTTCATTTAAAAAAATTCAATCCAAGTATGTTAATAAATAAAAGTTATAATAAAAGTCATTCAGAGGTATCAGGGCAGGGAAGGTCCCTCTCCAAGACAGACTAGATAGCTAGGTGAGATAACGTTATGCGCGTGGATTAATATAAGCCTCAGAAGAGGGCATTTTCAATTCATGTCCTCTTTTTTATATAAAAAGTCACTTCTGTGTTTTAACAGAAACCTGAACAGGCAGGCAGGGAAAATGGTTCATTAAATATGTAGGATAGCCACACTGTAGCACATTTTTATATATCTATTTTTTAAAAAACAATAAAAAAAGATTAAAGATGGATCATATTACATGCAGAATTAAAAAGCACATCTAATATACTATGACCCATTATGGATACCTCAACAATGAAACATATTGATAATCTGGAGAGAGTTCAGAGAGAAACCAAAATGATTAGATGCCTGGGAACAACTAAGTTCTGGGAGAAAAGATTAAAACAATTACATATGTAGGGCTTAGCTAAATTACGACATTTTAGGAAGCTTGCTTTATTCCCCTCCCAGCCTCTAAGGCTGACCAGTCTCTTAGCAATCTGGGCTGTCAGAATTTGATCTATTGCACTTCAAACATCTCATATACCTCCAAATCAACTGGAAATATTTTTATTTTAAATATTTTCCATGTGCCAGTGTTTAAGGCTGGGAAGAGGTGAAAGTATTACTAGACTTCTAGTAAGAATCTCATTTTCCTCCAAATTACAATCACTACTTCCCCTCAGCCCTTCTCAGAGCTTGGAACCTAAGAAACTCCTTCTCCTCTCCATTCAGTATTACCCAAGGACTGCAGCATACATTTATGATAAACATAAATGGCTTTAAGAGGCTATTCCCCATTTCTAAGACATCTGCACCAAAGGTGTCTCTACCCAGCTTGGAATTTGGGGTGAAGGAAACTTGCTAACAAGAGGGAATTGCAAGCATGGCTGAATTTAAAACTATTTCAGAAAAAGACAGAGGAAGAGGAAATTACTTTTGTTTTAAATTTAATTTGTTATATCACTAGATCATGTCAAAAAGGGAGGACTGAAGAAAAAAAATCATAGTGAAACTTTTTGTTAGAAATAGATTAAATGACATACCAAGTGATTAATAGCATAGCTTTATTTACATATATTCAAGAGTTCAGTTTCATTTGAATTATATAGATTTGCAGATACAGAGGGCACCTGCAAGTCAGCCAGCCAGAATGGACTTCAATAACAATCCTAGAAGATACATTTCAAAGTACTACCTCCTGAGGAACAAACTTAGCTAAAAGCACAATGACTAGAATTTCAACAAGATTTAAGAAAGAAGAGGCACATATTAAATGCTAAGATGATTAATACTGATTACAGAACAGTGAAGATGCTGTCAAGGATATGGGCACAACAGGATAATATTTGATTTATATTCTGCCTTCGGAAAAAAAAAATTCAGGCAGAATACACCACGATCCCTCATCTCATTTCTTCCAAATAACCTCTTTTTTGAGGTAGTTGGCCTACAGTAATCAAGGGAGCTTGTAAAGCTGAGACTAGATTTGAATGGGGGGGGGAAGTCCCCATTCCTAGTCCAACACCTTAACCTGGTTCTCTATTACCAAAAAGGGAATAACATCTGCAGTTAAATAAATTGTCTGATATGATAGTAAAACATGAAGGATGTATGTGGCCAACATTTTTGATAACCAAAGTGATGGGATGATGAAGTTTGTTCTTACACTGTAACATTTTTTCCTTGGTTGGTGTATAATTATTATACAGTATTTTTATTTTTGATTCTTCATTAATGAAGGATTCAGGCAGCATAAAACCATTTCATTTTACTGAGAGGAACAAAAGAGAATTCTTGAAACCATGGTACGAAAGTTATACCTAGTGGATTGGTCTTCTATAAGCATTGTTCCCTGTTTATCCACCCAGCAAGAGTCAGAAGACAGCCTAGCAGGGAGTTCAGCCTGGTGTCATGAAATCATGGAGCTGGAATGTGCTTCCCTAAAATGTGGAGGTCAGGCATCAGAGCTGTATACTCAAAAGATCTGGAGTTAGTAAAGGATTAGAGAGAGAAAGAGAGGGGGGGGGAGCTCTGATTGGAGAGAAACATAAACGGCAAGAAATGCAAATTCAGACTAGAGCCATTTTTACATGGGAAAATGTCTTAATGCATTTTAGATTCTGAACAGAGTTGGTACAGAGTGGAGAGACAAACCGACAGAGCTTGTATGGATTTGCAAGAGATTAATTATTGTTCCAGCAGTTTTATATCAATACCATTCACTGTATCTCTTCACAGCCTTCTATCCTTATAACCGTTTCCACAATGTTCTTATCTGGTAGATGCATTGTCTTTTTTCTTTACTCTTCTCAAGTTCTCTTTCAAGTTCCCATCAACTCCATTTAACCATCACTTTCCTAGTCCTCTCTTGACCTATTCACTTTGCCTTTATGCATTTGTTTTGCAACTCAGTCTTCCTACATTCTCTCTATATGACCAAATACCTCAACATACTTTTTCCATATTGATCATTAATTTTTATATTTAATTCCCATTCATTCCTAACATTTTACACACATTTAATTTATATTTGTTTCTCCAGACATACCCAATTCTCACTTCCATATAACATTATAACATTTTATAATAATAAAATATTTTGGCATTCAGTCTTACAATAAATCACCATATTGCCCACAGTATCAGCACCTGTATAGGTTAAAATGTCTCCATCCATTTTTCTATCTGTATTTTCTTTCTACCAAAGTATACAAAACATCTAACTTGCAATTATTCCCTCCATTTTCCCCAGATCCAATTATCTTATTATACTTTTCAGATCTATGTTCTTTGATGTAAAATTAATTGCAAATT